ATATATATATATATATAAGTTATATTATTCATACATACATACATACTTCCGTGTTTTTCTTCAATTAAAATACCAAAGAGGCCTTTGAGGCGCACACACAGAAAACAACCAAAAGCACATTTTAAACAACAACTACATACTTCTTCCTTTATTTATTTCACATTTGTTTTCCACTTCTGGTTTTCACACTTGGATAAGATAGATGCTCGTGTTGCCCCGGAACCTTTATTCTGGTTGAGAAGTAGGAGGCTCTTCAAATGTGTCGTACAGACCGGAAGTTGSATTTTGAAGTCACATTGAGCAAAAATCGACTGTCACGGTAAAATTAGGTAATGTATTATAATTTCTTTAAGTATGTTTTATGCATACATTATATCCTTCAGTTAAAAAGGACTCGAATTTAAATTTTAAATATTTTAGAAATGTGCCGACTTTTACACACTCAGCTACAAACGTAGCTAGCAAGACTAGCTATTGCCTAGGGAAAATGCCTTCAAGTTTAGCAGAAATAAAAAGAATTTTGATTAAACTATAAAAGCAGTGTATCATAATTTTAAAACATTGTATTTTATGGAAGACGTCGATCTTTCATTGCTGTTTTTTTTTTTTCATTCATTCTTCGGCTAATCGAACGGTAACACGGTAGATGTTATCATATTGACCTTCGTGATCCACCGACACTCGCATTCATCATTATTGGGTTTATTTTTAGCAAATAAATCCCAAACTTATTGGGCTAAATAGAGATTTAAACTCCAATAGATTATAAGTAGGCAGCCCTTTGATGAACACAAATCAGACTGAATGAAAGACACCAGTGACATCTACTGGTAAAATGTTAAAAAGAGACAATTTCTAAAAATCAGACATCTGCTGCATGCAAACCTAAAAGACACTTGAAGTATAAGAAAAAAAGCTACACAATGACTTAACTGTGGATGCTGAGGATTGTGCTGAACTCGTTAATTTGATTATTTGATATTTTCAGAACTTAGATTTTTTTTGTGTGAGTTTTGTTACATTTTGATCATGCATTATTTTGTTGTCTCTTTTGTGTTATTTGTGTCACCTGTTATTGTTATTGGTGTGTCATCTTGCTAATTTGGCATCGGTGCCTTATTTATTTATTTTTAATCTTCTGCAAATATTTGTAAGGATTGTTTTTGTCTCACTGAACAAAAATAAACGTTTGTTCATAAGCCTTATTGCAATGTTAACCCAAAACATGTTTTAGATGCCTAATTTTAAAAGCTTTGCTGTGACTGACAGATCTTTTCTTCACTGTAGGACGTCTGATCATCCAAGACATCTCTCATGACTTTGGTTGCTCATCAATAATGTTAACCTTGAAGGTTGTCACTCATCTGTTAGGTAGAACTTGTAAGTACAAAGATGTCTTATTTTATATTTTACTGTTTCTATGTTTCTCCACTAAATGACAGCTTTAAATCATTTCATGTGTGCTCATCCTCCTCTGCAGACTGAACCAGTTTCTGTTCAAGCACTTTCAATGTTCAAGTGAGCTTTTTCAGTGCTGAAATGTGACATGACAACTGGGGTTGGATAAGTTTCAAAATTAAACCTAATTTAGTCAAAATAATAAGTATTGAACCTTCAGTCAACCCAACAATAAAACCAACAGTCTGTCCCCAAATATAAACAAGAGGCATGAAAGATTTGGATTCTCCCCAAAACAATAACAATGATTAAGAAAACACTGTTTCCAAATCTTAGTGGTCTCAATTGTTATTTCTCTTGGTGCTGCAAAGATAACTTTATGCTCTTTTTGGGTGAAAACTTTCAGCCTATTCAGTTTTCTGTATTTTCTATAATGTTTTCTAAACTATGCCGTCAAATTATTTTGCTACGGAACAGACATACAAGGTCTGGACTTACCAACAACAATTTGGTGGTATTTATTCTCCTCTGGCTATGGGTCAGACTCTGGCTCCAACACGTAAATCTCGTTTTATACTTCAAGTTGCACGTCTTGTTCCCCCTGCTGAGTGAYGAAAAATCTGACGTTTATTTCCTGATCGAGTAAACGGGCTGAAAGTGCGGCGGGCTGTAAATTAATAGAAATAGGATAACAACAATGATAGCTGGATATTGTGATTTTTTTTTCACTCGAAGATCAAGTGTTGTGTTGAGTGAAAATTCTGCAAAGAAAAAATGTTTTTTTTTTGTTAATGGTGGTGATGGAAAAAAAGAGTGAAAATTAGCTGCATGCTCACATTCAATAGCATCAAACAGCTGCTCTTGTAGCTCTTTTAACAACAGGCTTCAGACAAAAAAGGCAATGACATCTCAGCATGTGTGTCAAAATAAAAAACTGTGATGGAGCCTAAAATATAGTTCCTGGACACCAGTAATGTTCCTGATTATTAAAAAACAAAATGAAAAAAAAAAATACTCTTGCAATGGTCGCTTGAAAGATCTTGAATTGAAGGGTTTATGGAACTTGTGTTAAAAGCAGATTGTGTTAAATTAAGAAAACGATGAGTAATAATTCTCCAAATGAAACTCTTCTCCTCCCTAGTTGCGCTTCATGCTCAAAGAGGATTTTTAAATGGATGCATCCAGCCAGCCGGTCCTGCTCTCTGCTCCTCTCTGCAGCAGAAACTCAGAAACTACTCGACTGCAGCGGACAACATGTCTCCTCCTCGATGGGTCCAACTTGAGCCAGAGCTGGACGAGGCTCTGGTTCCGCGGAAGCTGTCGGTGAGTCCTCTGGAGAGCTGGCTGTCCCTGCACTACACCCTCCCTCCCCCGCTGGAGTCTGTTCAGCCTCAGGAGGACGTGGAGCTGCTGGAGGAGATGCTGCTGCCGCCCATGTCTGTGCCTGCTGCTGCGGAGGACAGCCTGGGCTCAGAAAAGTCCATCCAGTGTAAAAATGTGCTGAAGATCCGACGGAAGAAGATGAACAAACATAAACGCAGGAAGCTCCTGAAGAGGATTAAGTTCGTGAAGAGGAGCGTGAATCACATCAGAGACAAGAAGAAGCAGGTGAGGAAAATAAATTTATCCTGCCATAAGCTGACTTTAGAATAATTTTAGTACTTTTATATGTAATTAGCCAATGTGTAGTATTTGTAAAGACATATAAATACAAATTTACACAACATGACCGATTGATTGTGTATTACACACAGTTACGATTTGAGAAGGACCTTGAAAGGATTTGGAAGCGAGCAGGACTGAAGCAGCCACCAGAGGGATGGGTTACGCCTAAAATCTTTCTTAACAATCCTGGAGACAAAAAGGACTGAATACAATCAAATCAAAAAGTTTTTGTTCTTGTTTTATGTTGCATCCTTCAGTCTGGACACCTCGCTGACTGCTGTGACACTGCTTTACGTCTGTTTCAGTTTAATTCATTCAACAAATAGACCATGTTCCCCGTGTCTGCGTGGGCAGTTGTTTTTAATGTGTACGTAAACAGAATAAAAGTCTCTGCCAAGGCTAATGTTGCTTTTCTGTTTTTTGTTACAACCCCAATTTCAATAAAGTTGGGCCGTTAAATAAAAACAGAATACAAGGATTTTTTTTATTGATTTAACAGGAAAAGATTACTAAAAATCAAGCCTGACTCAGCATAATTGCTGTTTTACAGCAGGTTCCTGTTCTGCAGCACATAAAACACTCAGAAATACAGCATCACAATCACATCAATATACACCATAGACACAAAGACAAACAAGCATACCTAAATTCAGGAAGGCAGCATTTGCAAAATAAGACGTCTAAATATGAGCACAACAAAAAGTGTCCAGCAGATGGCAGACAAGATTCTTCTTAAAGGGCTGTAGTTTTGAAATGGACTTTATGTTTTGAGGAATGTCATTCCATGCTTTAGTATAAACAGAAAAAAGACCTCTGGCTTAACAGTTTTTAAAAGTTGGTAATATCAGTTGTCCTTTTGTAACAGATCTAGTTGAATGACCACTTCCAGAATTTGATTTGGGCAACAATGCACAGAGAATTCCATAATTGGCACCTTGGAAGATCTGAAAATATAAATTAATACCACTATACAAAACATAATTCTGAAAAGTCAAGGCATCAGACAATGAAAGAACTGTACAGTGATGAGTCCAACCAGGAAGTTTTTTATGAATTTTGTAGGCCCTGTTGTAGAGCCTAACTATGGGTTCTAAGATTTCATTTGTTGTAAGAGACCAAACAGGTAAACAGTACGACATGGTTGAGAGTATAATGGCATGAAGATAGATATTTGAAATAGAAGATGTCAGATTGGATCTAATTTTTTGAATAAACGTATAATTTCTGTTTCAACTTAGTGGTTAAGACTTGTACACGATCACAATAAGTCAAGTGAGAATCCTAAGTAATTCCAAGATATTTGAAGGTAGTGACAATATCAAGGGGTTTGTTTAAAAAAATGAGTTTATTTGTTAAACTGAAATGTCTCCTGGGTGAGGAAAAATACATGCACACAGTTTTTTTGAACATAATTGACAAAAGATTATCTTGAAGCCAACCATGAAATGTCTGAAGATCTGCTTGTAACTGACTATTAATAGATTCAATATTGAAATCAGACAAAAAAAGAACAGTATCATCAGCATACATTAAAATATTTGAATACTTCAATATTTTTGGAAGGTCATTTATGTATAATAGGAAAAGCAATGGGCCCAGTATGCTACTCTGCAGAACTCCCACAGAACAGGGCAGAGACCCGGACATAGAGCATCCATGTTTCACAACCTGACACCTATAAGTCAAATAATAGGAAAACATTTGTATTGCAGATGATGAAAGTTGAAAAGAAATCAACTTTTGTAAGAGAGTATAATGATCAACTGTGTCAAACGCTTTACGAAAATCTATATACAGCACCAGTTACTTGACCTTTGTTCAAAACAGCACGTATTGGTTCAGTGAATAAAATGAATGCAGACATGGTTGACCTTAACGTGCGAAAACCATGTTGGCTATTGCTTAGCATATTATTAGCTTCTAGATGCTGAAGTAGTTGATTAAATAATGTTTTTAAATCCTTTTCAAGCTTTTTTAAATTGAATTCACTACAAAGACAAGATATTTAAAGACAGCCTCTCTGATGGTATGGGGGTACATTAGTGCCCATGGTATGAGTTACTTGCACATCTGTGAGGACACCATTAATGCTGAAAGGTTCAAACAGGTTTTGGAGCAACATGTGCTGCGGTCCATCTTTTTCAGGGACGTCTTGCTTATTTCAGCAAGACAATGAAGTCACATTCTGCAAGTGTTCCAACAGGGTGGCTTCATAGTAAAACAGTGTGGGTACTAGACTGGCCTGCCTGCAGTCCAGACCTGTCTCCCATTGAAAATGTGTGGAGCATTATGAAGCACAAAATAGGCTACAACAACAGGGACCCCAGACTGTTGAGCATCTGAAGTTGTTCATCAAGCAAGAATGGAAAGAATTCAGCTTCAACAATTAGTGTCCTCAGTTCACAAACATTTATTGAGTGTTGTTAAAATAAAAGCTGACGTAACACAGAGGTAAACATGACCCTGTCCCAGCTTTTTTTTGGAACATGTTGCAGGGATCAAACTCAAAAGAAGTGAATATTTGTAAAAACCAATGAAGTTTATCTGATTGAACAGTAAATATATTGCCTTTTTAGTGTATCCAGTTGATATAAGTTGAAAAGGTTTTACAAATCATGGTATTTCGTTTGTATTTGTTTTGCACAACATCTCAACTTCATTGGAGTTAGGGTTGTAAATTAATGTCATGGTTTAACGCAAAACAGCTGGTAAAATTTCCTCTAATCACACTGTAGATGGCAGTATTGTGTAAGGTTAAGGTAAAACAAAACTGCACAGTATTTTGCTCATTGTTACAAAATCTGCATGTAGACGAAACAAACCTGTTTTCAGAGCTTTTCTTTTTTTCAAATGCTGTTGGCACACACAAAAAAACAATCATTAAATTACCTTTAAGTCCAGAAATGTGTTGCAMTGTTTAAAAAGCAGCTGTTATTTTGAACTAATCTTTATAATTTGCCACTTTTCAGTCCAAACTTTTAAACTAAGATCATCAAACACTGAGAAACGATAAAGTTGTGACTTCTGAAACTTAAAATTATATACACACAATCTCAAAGGAACAGTCTTGTATATACTTGAGTAAAAGTACAAGTATCTCACCATAACAGTTCGTCTTCTGTGAGAATATTACTTGAGTAGAAGTCTGAAAGTATCTGACATTTACTGTACTTAACTAATAAACGTAAATTTCTGACATTAAATGTACTTTAGTATTAAAAGTACTGAGTAAAAGTGAGCAGTTAAATTTCCAAATTAACATACTATATTGGGAGGTTACCTCCTTAAAAAAGCATTTTTCTAAAGAGCATAGTGAAAATTTCGTGTTTAAATGTCAATGTAGAAAATTTTGGATGCTGGCTCCATGTTTTAGCTGCATATATTTCAGTCACGCTCACCTTCATTCTAGATTACATATGTCTGTTAGGTTCTGCTGGAGTGTGAACCTACCAACCACAGTTAAATTCACTCTGAAAACAAGTCAAAAGGAAAGAGGAATAAAAACTTTTAATGTAAGGAGTAAAAGGTACAGATAATTGTGTGAACTTGTAAATAGTACAACCCCTGGCAAAAAGTATGGACTCACCAGTCTTGGATGAGCACTCATTCAGACATTTCATTCTGTAAAACAAACTCAGATCAAAAACATGATACAAYAATAAGGTCATTCCAAAGTGCAACTTGTTGGCTTTCAGGAACACTCAAAGAAATTAAGAGAAAACATTGTTTAAGTCAGTGAATGCTACTTTTATTGACCAAGAACAGGGAAAAAAAAGTATGGAATCACTCATTTCTGAGGAAAAAGTATGGAATCATGAAAAACAGATAAACAAAAAGACCATTCAAAATACATCACTAGTATTTAGTTGCACCACCTTTGGCTTTTGTAACGGCTTGCAGTCTCTGAGGCATGGACTTGATGAGTGACAAACAGTATTCTTCATCAWTTTGGTGYCAACTCTCTTTGATAGCAGTTGCCAGATCAGCTTTGCAGGTCGGAGCCTTCTTGTGGATTTTTTTTTTCAATTTCCACCACAGGTTTTCAATTGGGTTTAGATCTGGACTTTTTGCAGGCCATGACATCAACTGAATATGTCTTTCTCCAACGAATGCCTTCACTGTTTTTGCCCTATGGTACGATGCATTGTCATCTTGGAAAATTATTTCATCACCTCCAAACATCTGTTCAATTGAAGGAATGAGAAAACTGCAGAAAGTGTCAATGTAAACTTGTGCATTGATAGAAGAATGAACCACAGTCATCTCTACCGTGCCTTTGGCTGACATGCAGCCCCATATCATCAAGGACTGTGGATATTTGGTTGTTTTCTTCAGGCAGTCCTCTTCATATTCATAAATCTCACTGGAACGGCACCAAACAAATCACCTTGTCCAATGCAGATTCTTGACTCATCACTGAAGATAACTTTCATCCAGTCATCCACAGTCTGTGACTGCCTCTCCTTAGCCCATTGCAGTCTTGTTCTTGTTTGTTTAGGTGTCAATGTTGGTTTTCTTTTAGCTTTCTCCTGTATTGAAATCTCATTTCCTTTAGGTGATTTCTTACGGTTCAGTCACACACATTGGCTCCAGCTTCCTCCCGTTTATGCTTCATCTGTTTAGTTGTACTTTTTCAGTTTTCAAGGCAAATGACCTTAAGTTGTTTGTCTTGACACTTTGATGTCTTTCTTGGTCTACCAGTWYGCTTGGCTTTAACAACCATTCCATGCTGTTTGTATTTGGTCCATATCTTGGATACAGTTGACGGTGAACAGCCCACATCTTTAGCAACCATGCGTGAAGAGTTACCTTTTTCAAGAAGTTTCACAATCCTCTCTTTCGTTTCAAGAGACATGTCTCTTGTTGGAGCCATGGTTTTTGCCACTCCACTTCGTCCAGCAGCCCTCCAAGGTGTCMTGACTGCAGGTRTTTTTAACTGCAGACTAACGAGCAGATCTAATCTGAGGCAGGTGTCCATTTAGGGAAAGGAAATTGACTGGGTGTGTCCTTATTTTCTACCTCCAATTTGAGTGATTCCATTTTTTTCCTCAGAAATGATTGATTCCAAATTTTTTCCCTGTTCTTGGTCAATAAAAGTAACATTCACTGACTTCCATAATATTTTCTCTTCATTTCTTTGAGTGTTCCTGAAAGCCAACAAGTTGCACTTTGGAATGACCTTATTATTGTATCATGTTTTTGATCTGAGTTTGTTTTACAGAATGAAATGTCTGAATGAGTGCTCATCCAAGACTGGCGATTCCATACTTTTTGCCAGGGGTTGTAGAAGTATAAAAGCAGCTGAAAAATAATCACTCAAAGTAATGTCCAGATAACAAAACTTCTAAAGTAAAGTACCAAARTGTTACTTTCATACTTTACACATCCGGTTGGGAATGTCTTTCAGCTACTACCAYATCAAATCTTAGCTCATTACCACTAAAACTAACAGTTGATTATGGTGCCCATCTCGAATTGAATTGACTTGTGCAAAACGTTATCTTTCACCTTAACCTTCAAATGTGAGCGATAAATGCAAAACCTGCTAAACTCACCAAGCAAAGGGGCATTAACATAAACATCCAGTTGTGCATAGATAATCCTGATAAAGCAAACCAAACACCATGCACCATACGATGAAAACTTCAGCCTCACGGTGACGCATGGTGGTAGCCGCATCATGCTGTGGGAACTTTTTTCATCAGCAGAGACTGGGAAACTGGTCAGAGCTGAAGAAAAGGTGGACCTCAGTTTGAGTCTGGACAGAAGCAGCAGCCATCCAACCTGCAGGGGCTTCATTTATTTAAATAAAAGGACATTTCACATTATTTAAAATAAATAAATGTGATGGATTTAGCATGACACCTTTTGTTGTCATGAATCAATAAAAAATACAGTGCACAAATGTAAAAGAATATAAATCAATGCAACTCATCTTGATTTATCTGGATTGYTTATTTTTTATATAGTTTTATGTAATTTAACTGAAATTCCATTTAAATTACAGGCTGTGTAAGGCAACAATTGAAAGAAAACACACATTTTGCAGCTCACTGTAGGAAGTAAACAGACAAAGACTGCTGAATGTTTTTAGTTTCCTGAAAAAAAAAAATCCCATTCTGTGTTTTATCAGCAATGCTGTCTGGAGCTGGTCAGTCTTATTGTATTTTAATTGTATTTGTCTGCTCCGTTGGCATTTCAGTGCCTCATATGTTTAAAGTTAATGTGCATGTCCCCGAGGAATCCAGAACTATGGCAGTATTAAATTTCATGGACTGATGGAGGCGGAGTTTGTAGGGAGACTCCAGGCTACAGGAACCCAACAGAACTCAACTGCTGCCTGCAAACTTCTGAGGCTTCATGTTGTTTTAWCCGCTGACTGGGTCGCACATCTGCTACAAGCCCTGAGAAGAAGATGCACATAGATATGACTCTTCTACAGAGTAAGTCTTTGTCCTTTTTTTTGTTTTGTTTTTTGTCTATTAACAAGGAGGGGAAAACCAGCTTCAAGAAACTGTTTTGTTCTATAATTGGTTCCAGGTTAAAGATTCTTGTCAGGAACAAAAAACGCAGAGTCACTTCTCAGGTTTCCTGGTTATTATAGGGAATATWTTACTATTAAATTTGCATCAATACCAGACAGCAGACTGCAAAACAATAATTGAGCTGTATTTTCGGACAAACTGTCACAATGAGTGGGTTTGTGGACAGATGACAGGTCCTGTTTCAGCACAGATGGACATTTGTGAAGTTGTATTCTGCTCCTGACAATATGCTGGTGAGAAGCAGACAATATGYTGTGGATATTTTTTTTGTCAACTGAGTCATAAACCTTGCATTGTTTTAGGGTTTTATTTTTAACAACATTTCACACTTTTTGTTTTCTTGCAAAWWCACCACTTTTTACTGCATTCCTACCACTTTTTGTGTTTGAGTGAAAACATTTGACTAAAAGGAGGCCAGACCTACATCCCAATCCAGAAATAATAAACAGAATAAAGTGTGTCTTGGTCTGTTTTTGCTAAGACTAAGGACGTCGTTCGACACCGACTCATTTTTTTATAATTTTTTCTAAAAATAAACCCAGCTCCACAAACATTTGAGCAGAACCCTGAGTCAGACTGAACAACAGGCTGCAGCCTGTTGATACAGTTCACAGTGATGTGAGTGTGGGATTTTTCCCTTCTTCTTTTTTTTCTCCCCTCTTCTTTTTTTTTATGGCTTCAGCCCAATGTGTTTCCAGTTAACTGCGGTCAGAGCAAAGGAGTCAGCACAATCCAGCAGCTCGGTCATTATACGTGTCAGTAATGAGTGTTTTACCACGAGTGGGTCGTTTTGGGTCCGGGCGGTGTGGAGGAGGAGGAGAGGGGGTCCACATCAGCCATGTTTATGATGGTTGGGTCTGTTTTAATGATCAGCCACTAACAACAGGGTATGGAAAAGATTGGAATTACTGTTTTGAATAGAACAAGCAAAGGAGTGCACAGCTACCAATTGGAGACAGAAAATGATAGGGCTTACAATAAGATAGTTTGTTTATATTCTGAAAACTCAATAGACCGTCACTTTGTCCTGCAGTATGATGCCCACACACTAAGACTAGGCAATAACTTATTTTTTTAAATCAAAGTTTTCTTTAAAGCTTGGACATTTGGGTATATTTTGCTGAAATAGGCAGTATGAAATCACTCGCACCACTGTGAGATAAGAAAATTAAATATTTATTACATTTTTTATCTCTACRATCACACCAACTTAAGATCATTATTAGTAAAACTAATTGAGTTGTGGTAATTTTTATGTTGGCTATGGTTTATAGTGAGTRGGGATGGATAAACAATCCATACGAGCGTGGGCCTCCTAGGCCTAGGTCGGCCCATTGCTCTCCCCAAAAAGACACAGGTCTTAATTCAAACCTTCGTGTCCCTTGGATGAAGGACACGAGGTTAGAAACACTCAGTGTTCTGAGCTTCCATAGAGGGGTCCCCGAGAATTATTAGAGAATATAAACCCAGGCATTCGTCAAATGACGTCACACGAAAAGTGACAGGTGCCCCGCCCCTTTAGGGCGGGACTTCCTCTCCCCCTCCCTCACTTCCTCTTTTCCTTAACCGTAATCCTACTCTTCACCGCATACTTCCTCTTTTCAATGG